ACTACATCTGGGCCACCAAAGGGCTGACATTCTTTGCGATATCTGGGCAGAGTGTTAGAGCGTTAATGCCTTGTGAGGGTCAGAACTGGGCCAGACAAATTTTACCATGTGGGTCATAGCAGTATTTGTGTATCATCTTTGTCCTGGGAACTCCTCCAGTATAAAGGGGAGTCAGAGAGTGGGATTTTTGAGCTTCTGTTATTGATCGGCTGCCTCTGCAATCCAACCCCACAGAAGCAGTTGTAGATGGCTGGATGGATAGAAACAAATATTTTCGACTAACGTTATTGTCATTTTGAATATTCTTCAAACATTTTATTTATGACATACTTTCTTTGCTTTACCTTTTACAGTACAACTGGCCTTCAGCAATTTTTGGAACATGTTGCTGGCATAAAAAARAMCTTTCCTTTTCAGTGTATTCAATTTCATAGGTTGAAAGTGATTTGCAAATTTATACACAACATCCCAATTTCCTTGGAACTGGGGGTTGCATTTTATTCAAGTATCATGTAACCAGGATAGTGAAAACATTAGAGAAGTATAAGATAATAAATAGCAAGGATAAGTTYATTCATTATATCCTTTTATTTCAATTAACATTTCAAAGTTCATATAAAGTTATTAAAAATGTGTTTACATTGTTTAAAATAAGTTATCTTTATTTTGTGAAGAATTGCCAGCGAAAATTGTATTTTCCTACAGCAGTACGGTCTGTGAAGGTAGCACAGGTGGGGGGAGAGAAAAAGAACAGAAGAGTGGTGCAGCAGCAGGAACATCACAGAGGTGGAAGTACCTGGCGGTCCTGTCATTCCTCGAGCCCTTCGTCGCTCCACGACAGACCTCCAGCAACATGTCNATCATGTCACACTCCAGCAGGACATAGTAGACATATGTAGACTAGTCCTTACATAAAATCTACCTGCTCATTTTAAATCAATGCTTTTCCTTTTAATACTCAAGTACAAAAAATACTTTAAGACTTTTACTCAAGTAATATTCCTAAAAGAGACTTTAACTTTTACCAAAGTAATTTTTGGTAAGATACTTGTACTTTTACTCAAGTATCACTTCATGGTACTTTATAAAACACTGACAATGACTAAGTCAAAATGACTGATGTTTATCTAATATTTGGAGTGGTGATATCTGAGAGTAATCCTTAATACACACTTGAGCACTAGCACGCACAATGTTACTTACAGAGGTGTATAGGAACAAAGTACATTTACTTCATTACATTTTTTGAGGATTTATGATTTAACCAAAAAAAAAAACCAAAACTTTTTTTTTACTTTTACTTTGTAACATTCAAAATATAAAGAATGATACTTTTACTTCTTTACCTTAAAATTTAACATGCTACAAATTTAAATGTGACAGTAATGAAAGGAGTTGTGTATGCACTCTTAAAAAAATTAAGTGTTGAACTTTAACCAAGTTATCAGCTGGTTGCACTAAACATAGTTGAGCAAAATGAGCAATTGACACGTTTGTTTAAAGAAAATGTGTGAATTACTTTGCATGTACTCAACTCTGCTTAGTGGAACCGGTTTACTTAACCTGATTAAGTAAATTCAACACTTTATTTCTTAGTGTGCACACTTTTCTTATCAATGAGAATCATTTTTACTGAAGACATTTTCTGCTAAGGTATTTTTATTTTTACTAGGTATTTTTCCCAAGTACTTCACACACCTTATTTACAAAACCAGATCAAAACAACTTCATCTCTTGTCATCACAAGATGATTTAATTTTAAAAAACTGGCATAAATGGTGGAGATCGATGTGTATTCCTTCAAAGAATGCCCACACACACACACACACACACACACACACACACACACACACACACACACACACACACA